TATATTTTATACAAATATATATATGTATGTGTCTGTACGTATGTATACATATTTATATATTTTTTAGCTATACGATTGCATATATGTGTATATGACATTACCAATAATATTATAATATATATATATATATATATATATATATATATATATATATATAATTATTTATTTAAAAAAATATGATTCCAAATCGCGACATAAGAAGTCCCATGTTTCAAAACAAGGCCAGAAAACTTCAATATAATTATTTAAATTATTTAAATTAAATTGAGTTAAAATAAGCTCTGTTCCATCTTCAAGCGAAATTTTTTTTTGAATAACGTGTGTCTGAAATTTACGTGTTTTAAAAATTGAAATCAAAATTTCCATGGTAACAGCTAGGGCGAATTGTTTAAGTTGGGTAAGGCGGGTGTTGGGTGTTAATAATAAAGTATCAGTATAGAGTTACTTTCATAGATGTCAAGTCAGAGAAAGGTGGGGGGTGTCTAAATTTGAAACGGAAGATGTATTAACCCTCGTCTAGTTTGCATGTCTATGGAAATTTATTTATTTTTTATTTTATTTTTTTTTTTAAGGAATTGTGAATATAAAAAACAAACAAAAACTGTCGTAACGTTTGTTTTTTGACGACTTCATAAAGGGTTATCTTTTTTTAGGGTATTTAAACTATTTATTTCGGCTATGGATTATGAAGGGTGTTATATTGTATGCATATATATATATATATATATATAAAGTGGCCCAAAGGTAACCAGAAGACTGTTTGGACTAATCTTGACAAAGAGCTTTCTTTTATCGTTAATAACAATCTTAATGGTCACATAGGGCAAAAGATCAGTTCCTTTTGTAGAATAATATACGACGTTTTCTTTGAGGGATTTGAAACAGTAATGGAAAAGAAAGATAAAAAGAGGAAAAACGACCAAATCGACGACAAATTTAGAAAGGAAAGTTACGATCAGAACTGACATTAACTGAAATATTATGCGCGCATCATCACGACCTAGCATGCGCAGGTGAAATATTTGCATAGCCGTTTATAACGATTTTTACGAGCGCGTCAATAACGGCAAACGCGTTCGGGAACTTTCATTACGGACAGAAGCTGCAAATAGGAACAATCGTTTTATTTATTTCATTAAGAATTTGCAAAGAGGAACGATCAATTAGGTTTTTTTTTTTTTTTTTTTTTTTCATACCCTGCCTGGTGGCAAATGCTGCTGGTGGAGCCTGTGGTAGCGGTCCCGCCATAGCCACCGAAACCGTGATATCACCCCTGGTGAGCAACTGATGAAGTCAGGGTATCGCACGTGCTAACACCCGTTGTATGTTAAATATATATATATATATATATATATATATATATATATATATATATATATATATATATATATATATATATATATATATATATATGTATGTATGTATATATATATATATATATATATATATATATATATATATATATATATATATATATATAGTAAGAATAAAAGCTAAAGCTTAAAATAAGCTAAAAGCTGAAAATATAAAATAATCTGAGGAGTCAATGCTAAAATCGACAAAGCCAAAATATAATATAATAATGATAATACCAAAACCGTTTCTCAGCGTTTCATGCAATGACAATCATCAGGCAGAACTGATAGTCCAAATAGTCATACTCTCCAACCAGTTGTTAAAGGTCAGCATTAACAAAGGTATAAAGTGTGATTTTTTTTTTAGGCATTTCAACCCTAGCAAGGCGGGAAGCCACTAATACGCATAGGGGTTATAGGAATGATAGAGAAGAGGATGAGGAGAAGGATAGAGGATAAGTCAAGGCAACTGGATATGTTTATTGACATTACATTTAAATAGTTGGAGATTATAGCTCTCAGAGAAACAGGAATAGGGAAGGGAGTTCCTCAGGCGAGTGGTGCGAGACATGAAGCTATTGGAGTAGAAGAGGCGACTACATTTAACAGTTTCAACAGTGAAAGGGTGAGAGAGGAATGCCAGCCTTGTAGGACGCTTGAATTCGCGAAGTCTTGGAACCAGCGAAAACAGCTCATCGGAGCAATTACTATGAAATTATTTGTAAAAAAGACAGAGAGAGGCGACGACACATCTGTGAGAGAGCGACTGCAGGCGAGATGCCAGATTAGGGCCAATTATATTGCATATCGTCTCTGGGTCTTATCAAGAACCCCGAGGCAAACAGAAGGGGCTCCAGACCATATATGGCAGCAATACTCCATGCAAATGGTTGATTTTCAGATTTGAAGGATCGATTCCGGGGAGAAAAATTTCCTGGCGCGGCACAGGGAGCCAACTTTCCTTGCGGTGGACGAAGCAATTGACTCAATGTATTTGTTCCATCTCAGGTCAGTAGACAACGAGAGACCGAGCAGACGCAGAGAGGCGCTTTCGGGAAGTTGAGCGTCAGACATTCTAATGGGGGGCAGGGAAGATTCTCTGTGGTGATTAAGAGCAGTTTTGTTTTGGTGGCGTTACAGTTAACCAGCCAATTACGGCCCCAGTTCATAAGCGATTGGAAGTCTTTTTCATGCTCGAAATACTCTTTGTAGGGAAGACCTTCTATGCCCGGAGTCTTCTCTCTTCTCATAAACCTCAACGCTTCCAAAACCTTTGCCTCTATTATAGGCAGATCTTAAGTAACCACTTCAGTCAATACAAGGCGTAGAAAAACCACTAATCGAACGTATATCTGAACAGTAAAAAAAAACACTTGAATGTAACCTCTTAAAGCCTCTTATATGCTTTCGTTTCTAGTCACTTATCCATGGCACTCTAGAGATATTTCTATCTGTGAGCATCAAGTCTGAATGCAAGATGGACCGAATAAAAGCAGAAGCCCTCTCTGAACAGAATTGTTTCATATACGTTTATTGTTTGTTTAGCGGCATATCAACACCTTATGGTTCATTTAATAACGAAATTTTATTTTCTTGAGAGCATTAGTAATTTCTTTTACAAAAATGTATTCCTGTTACCTTTTTTTTCAAAAAAGAATTGCTGGTAATTATTTTTTATTTCATATTTTACAAAAATTTTTTGCTGATATTTTACTATAATTTCTTTTTTATACTTTCATTGTGTTTTGATCCCACTTTGGGGGTTAACTCTTTGACCATAGCTGGGAGACTAACAGTTTCTATCATACAGTGTCAGGGTGAACCTAGGAACAACAGCAATTAAGAGGTAGTTCCATACTCCTTAAAACCTCCCAATCAGAGGCCTCCCTGCCGGATGTAGTTTATCGTCATACTCAGGACGTCATATATTTTTATTTAGATATTATAACAAATGGAGATGACATATTGAAGGCCATTTTGGATTCCTACTCCTCCTTTCCTTTCTTCCCTTTCCATGCTTCATATTTGCTGTGTTTCCAAACAGTTTCTTTGTTAGAAAATGTCCTGGGGCTTTTTTTTTTAATGTCCTTCTCATTCGCTCTTTTGACTGCGAGTAAGTATCTTAAGTTTTCTGTTTCGTTTTAAGGTTACATCCGCCTTGTTCAGATATATATCCAGACATATTTCGCCATATTAAAAAGCAGTCGTCATGACCTTTTTCTTTTATCAACTAACAGTTGGACATACCTGTCTATTGGCCAGTGGCGAAAAATCATTCATCGACAAAAGATGGCGGAATAGAAATTTTATTTTCGTTTTTTTTTCAGTCCACCTCATAGCTTTTATTTAATAATTGCCGACGCTCAGTACAAGTGACTCAGTTTCATTTACTCTCCGAAGTACAAATTCACTTTTCTTGATCAATGTTTTTTTTTTTTTCAATTTTTCTACGTTGAAATAGAATTCCTTAAATTCATCCATAGAGATTTTAAAACTTTCAAAATGGAACTTAATGCAGTACGTTCCGGTGAACACAATATTACTTTGAATTTCAACAAGATAACAGACGTTTAATTAACTTCGAGTTCTTTGTTTTTTTTTTTTTTTTTTTTAAATTTTTCTCTATGTCCTGTTTTGAACAAATTCGCGTGTGGTTATCTTTCTTACACAGTACCATGACTAACCACTAGAGGCCGACTATTACTCAGTTCACTTCTTTCTTTCTTTCTTTCTTTCTTTCTTTCTTGCTTGCTTTTTTAATTTATTCCAACTCCAAACTGTCATTTCTTTCTTTCTTTCTTTCTTTCTTTCTTTCTTTCTTTCTTTCTTTCTTTCTTTCTTTTTTTTTCTTTTATTATCTCTTTCTTTCTTGTTTGCTTGCTTTTTTAATTTATTTACTTCCCAATCGTCATTTCTTTATTTCTTCCTTTAGTTTCTTCTTTTCTTCTTTATTTCTTTCATTCTTTTTCTTCTTGTCCCTTTATTTCGTTTCCAAACACGCATTCGCTCCACTCTTTCTTTCTTTCTTTCTTTCTTTCTTTCTTTCTTTCTTGCTTGCTTGCTTGCGTTTTTAATTTATTTCACCTCCAAGCCTCCATTTTGTTCTTTCTCTCTGCCTTTTTTCTTTCTTTCTTTTCTTTTATTATTTCTTTATTTCATTCTTTCTTTCGTGCATTTTTTAATTTATTTTACCTGCCAACTCTCAATTTTTTCATTCTATCTTTCTGTCTTTCTTTCTTTCTTTCTCTGTCTTTCTTTCTTTCTTTCTTTCTTTCTTTCTTTTTTTCTTTTCTTTCTTTTCTTCTGAAATATATCTCTCGTACAATCCATTTAATTCTTGATCCTTTATTTCATTTCAAAACACGCAATTGTTCCACTCTATTTTTCTTTCTTTCTTTCTTTCTTTCTTTCTTTCTTTCTTTTTTTCTTTCTTTCCTTTTTTTCTTTCTTTTCTTTTTGCTTTGCTTTCTTTCTTTGTTTTGTATTTTGCCTTTTTTATTTCAAAAACCGTCATTTCTTTCTTTCTTTCTTTCTTTCTTTCTTTCTTTCTTTCTTTCTTTTTTTTCTTTCTTTCTTCTCACTCTTCCTTTCTTCTTTCTCTTCTCTTCATTTCTTCTTTCTTTTCCTCCCCATATTTCATTGTGAGAATAAGAGCTTCTTCCCGCTGTATGTTAAATAGGGAAGCGATTTTCCCAAGTAGCTAATAACCAAACTGTATTCGTAATAAAAGATCCTGACATTTCAGTAAGGAGTCTATGTATGTTGCATTCAGTTGTCTGTAGATATCGTCTCAGTTTTTCAAACACAGAGATCTTTGTTTTGTGATCATATTGAATGGATAAAAATATATAACGCGACCTTTAAAGATTGTGAGAAGATCGAAAAACAGAGCGGTTGAGATGTTGAAAGAAAAACAAGAATAATTTTCACTCGTTCTAATCATATATTGAATAACTTTCTTTTCATTTTTCTTTTCTTTTCATTTTTTTTGGGGAAAAATGGCAAAAGGTGTCGATTAAATTTTTAGGCCTATCAGAAAAATAGTAAAAGAAAATTTGAGAGTACCAAACCACAAATCGTGAACAGCAATTGTACAGGGTGCGGCTGAAATACCTGCATATATAACATCCAGAACATATATAACATCCGGTGGCTAGGATCAAAGTGTAGTATCTGCGCTTTGTGAGCTGCCGGATCGGGTGTCAGTCGAACTCTCTGCTTGCAGAGAGGAACCCGGACGAAGCTCTGCCGAAGGGTAGGGTTACGTTGGGGGAGGTTGACGGAACTGGCCCGCCTCGGCGGGTTTGGATGGTTATTTATTTTTGGCTGGGCCTACGGGCTCAGAGATACCCACATTAAAAAGGCCTTGTGCAACATTTGATCCCCGTGGGTGGATTGATAAATACCATATAACATCCAGAAATATATCTCACATGATGGCAAGATATTAGTGCCAATAGTGTCTTCATCTAACTAATATCTTGTGGAAGGTATTTATACCGCATTCTGTATGTCCAAATTTCTTCTCTATTTGATTTGTTTTTCTCCAAAGCTTCCTTATAAAGACGATAAAATAATTTTTTTATCGTTTCACCCCAAGCAAGGCGACGATGCCAGTAGAACGCAGGGGGGTTACAAGGAATGAAAATGGAAGAGAATCAGAAGACTGATAATAGCAAGGATTGGAATAAAAGGAGAAGGGTTCAAGAATACAGACGATAGCGACTGACGTGGCATTTAACATTTTGAATATTGTATTTATCCAGGGAGCAAAAAATCGGAAGTGAGTTCCACACGTGAGAAGTGCGTGAAAATAAACTCTTAGAATAGTAATGGCGATCGCATATAGTAAAACGGGGAGACCTAACTGTCAATCGAGTAGCACGCTTAAATTCATTTACTCTGGGCACCAGGGAAATGAAGCCTCTCAGAACATTTGACATTTGAGAGAAAAGACAGAGAAAACCTAACGTGTTAGGTCGGTGAGAAAGTGACTCAAGTCGAAATGCCTTGTCAGGATCGATGAAATTACAGATCTTTCTTTATATTTTCTCAAGAATCTCCAGATGTACAGCAGGAGCACCGAACCCAATTGTAATGACAATATAAGCCGTTTCCCTATATGGAAACATTCAGTATACATTAGGCAAACAGCTAATGCTACAGTCGGTTGAAATTTACAAGACCCTTCTATTGAAGCAATCACTCATGAAAATAGGCCCAGTAGAAGTGCAGTAAATGCTAATGCTCTTTCCAATATTGATTGGGGGTTTCGTTTATTTGAACTAGTGTGGAACATCAACGTCTTGATTTTCTCATTATTTTCTCTTCGACTTGCATCCGTTTTGATTGTTGCTGTTGTACTCTGATTGTAATTCTGTAGCGCCAGACCATGATACGCGAAGATTAATGGTTCCCGCTAAGTACCACTGGCACCATTAGCTGGAAGCCATCATTAACCATCGATATGAAAACGTGGTCGTATGCAGCTGACAGTTTATATATTTCTGAAAGTGTTTTGGCTATGCACACTATCCATATGTAAATCGCAATCTATCGAGGCTATTTAAGAAGGTGACTCAAGTTCATAGGTTAATGATTTGTATTGTACCAATTTTCAGCCTATTCTCCCCACTCTCTCTCTCTCTCTCTCTCTCTATATATATATATATATATATATATATATATATATATATATATAATATATATATATATATATATATATATATATATATATATATATATATATATATATATATATATATATATATATATATATATATATATATATATATATATATATATATATATATATATATATATATGAAAAATTTAGTTTTAAGTTGTGCTATATTTATGGGATAAAGTGGTCAATATCAGAGAGAGAGTGAGGTATGTAAATATAAATATAAAAGTGAACACAGACGATTGCATCTAACATGAAACATCCTGTCGCCTCTAAATTGTTGACTTCAATTTTCACTTATATATATATATATATATATATATATATATATATATATATATATATATATATATATATATATATATATATATATATAGATAGATAGATAGATAGATAGATAGATAGATAGATGGTAACAGTAATGGATATATTAAGTGTTTCTTTACATGGAATCATTCAGCATTCATTGACTAAATAGCCATTGCTCTCACCGTCTTAATTTTATAAAATCTTACTGTTTAAATAGTTATTCAAGGTAATAATTTTTCTCAAGCCCAATAACTGTTATTGCTCTTTCCAGTATTTACTGTGGCATCATTCCTACAGTTTTACGATTCATCAGAACATCAGATTCTTAATTATGCTATAACTTTCTCTTCAAGTTACATGTTACCCATTGTGGTTGTCTGTGTTATTGAGGGAATTCAAGTAATATGGTTCTGTTATTTGCTATCTTTCTTTGCCTACGATTATGTAGCGCCAGAAAAAAAGGATAGTTATCTCTAAAACCTACATATTCATTCGTCTGAAGTCAGTTTTAATCACTGATCTGAGAAAGGAGTTTTCCTAAGTCTGAACACATAGGAAATCTCAATAACTATTTTTTTTTTACGGTTTTATGATTTTGCCGAAAGAAGAAAGAATTGACTTCTTTTTATGGTGTATGCTAAAGGGGAAGGTGTACTCAATGAAAATCACAGATGCAACACATTTGATTGAACGCATAACGAGTGAATGTGCTACAATTGAAGGCAATGTGGAGTTATTACATTGAGTTCACGTGTATCTTGCAAAGCGCAACAGACTTTGCATCACAAATGATGGAAATTGTATTGAAGATGTTATTTTTTTAATATTCCAATTCAATAAAGACTTGTCGAAAATTTAATTCCTTGAAAATCCGCATGTCTATATTTCCGGACTGTATACAGTTCACAGTTTATTGTTTTATTGATTGATTGGTTCATTTTTACGGTTTATCAAAATTGTACAATGTTTTTTTTTTATATTTTAAGAATTGTTTTGGCTATAATTTTACCAAGAGGCGATTCTCGACGTGTTGTAATGATTAACAAGCTAGAACAATTACTGCTGAGTAGTGAGTTCGATACTCACTGGGTGCTGCATATTTTCTTCCTTGTGCTACAGCTAAGCTACGCTTAGAGAATCACTATATCTTTCCCAAGAATATTTTGCACGTAAGCGAATATAACGAACCCAACCGGAATTGGAACTCGTCTCTTTGATTAACAATTCCAGATCATTATCCATTACACCACCCGCATATCAAAGCTTGCAGCACCTGGCATTCCAAAGCAGATACTCATCTACTCTAGGATGGAAGGCGATTGTACGGCAATTGGTGATTCAACTTGAGTTGGCCGTAAACCATAATTTAGAGTTTAGATATTTCTGAACTTGTTGGGCACTATGCATGACAGCCCTATGGAAAGTTCATTAAATTTGATCAAGCTTTTCTCACTTCTGAAAAATGAGTACCCATATAGCAGATCCCATAGATATAAGGGGAACATAGATTTTGACTAGAGGCCATAATAACCACGCTTGGCCTGCGGGTAGAACGAGTGTTTCTCTCCAGAATACTCGATTTGTTGAGTGTGATCCCACAGCAAGGTTCAGCACCTTGTTGTTTTATCCATAGACGGAGCAAGATGGATTTCACTCCTGTTTTTTTCTTGTTTTTTTTTCGTTTCAGATTTCTCCGAGAGCAGTTACTAAGAACGCAGGTATGTATTCACATATTTTCCGCGAGAGGCGCCATGTTTAGCACAGGAAAACGTTACTTATCAAGGAAATTTTTCCTTAATATTTCAATATTTATATCTTCTAAAACAAAAGAATGTTATAATGCTGCTTGCTCTGCCATCATTTAGTAACACTTGCGCTACGCTCTGACATTATCTCAGATGAATAATGGGTTATTCCGTTTTAATGGCGTCGAAAGACAGAAAATAGTATAACAAGGACGCTGCTTGTTTTAGTGACAAATAGAAAGCATACATAATAAAACGAAAGAAAGAACAAGTAAAGCGAGCAGTTGATAATGCTTTCATGCGTTTAACGTCTGCTACAGTAAATTTCGAATCTTTGCCTTTGTATCCTCTTACTTCCTTAATTAACGGCCAGCATTCTTACTTATGATTGTTAGTGCAATATTTTGCTAACATTTTTAAGCTCCAATATTTAACGAGACAATAGGGGGATTTCTACGGATATTTTATCGACATGAAACTCGCTAATTCAATCATTAACTTAACCCTAGAACACTAACCATCAATTAAAGTTACACCACTATTAACCATGGGTATATCTTATCCAATTTTGAAAATATCAAAAAAAATATTAAATATAAATCTTTATTTGAAATATTTTACATGCAGGCACTTCAAAATTTGTACTGAAAAACATATCATTTAGGTAAGAAAATCAGGAACTGAAAATTGTAATTAAAAATGCGCTGGGTACTATATACCCATGGTGAGTGTTCTAGGGTTAAGAATTAAGATTCGTCAGAAAATTTAAATAGTACAATCGTTAAAATTTCATGGATCCTGCATGTCGCTTTTTTTATTCCAGTTTTATTTTTTACAATTACAACAAAGAAAAATTTAATAGCAATTTACTATGCGTAGCTTAGATGCGTCAAAGGCCACAGGTA